ACAAAAAGAGAGAAAGGAAAAGATTTGAACCATACCCACTTGAGGCTTCACAGAGAATATAATCACATCACTATCTTCAACCACCTGCTCTGACAAAAAAGAAGAAACGTGTGAAATAAGAATTTCCAAGGAATCAATCAAAGGTTATAAGAGATATAAAGTGAGACAACTAGAGTCAGTCACTAGATCTCAGATTTGTAGTTGTACCAAAAAGAACAAAAAAACAAAGAAAAGATACTTCAGTTTTTGGAGAAAATGAGAATGCACACTCCATTTAGTGTTTTAATGTAAGAAAAATCCCTAGGAAAAGAAAAACAAAAACACATCATGCATTTGTCCATAAGAGTACAAAAAAGAGAAGAGTATAAATAGTGATATTCCTACTATGAGATGACCACGAGGTGTTACTGCCATAGCAATCACTAAGTATTTGTTAACGCAGGTCTTAAAAGGTCAGTGTCTCTTTGCTTGAACAAAATTTAAGGTCAATCAGAATCTAAGAACTCTGCTTTGTATTATTTTGTCTAAGAAAATGTCTGTCCTGACGTATTCAAGGGCACTTGTCTTGCATTACTCCAAGCCATAAATAAGTCAGTTAGTCCTAGCAATAAATGTTTCTTTTACCCATATTCTAACTCATCAAAATTAATAACTTTGTTGTCCTATTAATAACCTACAAGAAGAGCTTGAAAACATCAATAACTTGAACCACTTATTAAATTAAACCAATTTTGCTGTCTGAACATATGATCAAATCAATTCGGGAATTAAAAAATATATGATCAAATCAAGATTGTCCGGCACTTCAGAAAAAAGGCGTATATCGAAATAAGCCTTTTTTTCTTATTAACTCTCGTATGCAACCGATACGAGAGTTAGTGGGTATGTTGTTGTTGTTGTTGTTGTATGCAACCGATATACCAAAAGATAGAGAACCTTACCAATAGTATGATTCTCTACAAATGTCACCCGATTTTCTTTACAGTAGTTTCATGGGTACAACCAAAACAAACTAAGAAACTTCCATACATACAGGAATAAGAGAGATTGATAAAGTAGAAAATTATGATCACCAAAAAGCAAAAACATCCCACTGAGTGTACATTAAAAGTAAATTAGAGTGGCATTTAAGATGAAAATGTATAAGCTTACCTGAGAATTATTATCAAATACAGTAACCCCAATAGACTCAAAAGCAGTACGTCGAGCCGATCCAGAGTGGGCTGTTCGAATACGAGAAGCAGGCAATATCCCAGACTTAACCACACCTCTAGCTATGCTTTCAGCCATTTTTCCAGCTCCTATAAAGCCCACCTTGTATGAATCGGTTGGAATTGGACAAACATTCGCCATTTGGAAACTATGTAACAGTAAAGATACTACTTTTCTTCTGAAACCAACAACAGAAAATAAAAATAAAAGAGGAAAACAAGAGTCAGAAATTCATTGAAGCATTTCATCAAACACCTGGAATGCAAAACAGATTTCCCAAATCCATAACCGTAAGATTAATGATTCAATTGAAACACAGAATTAGAAACAAGAAAAATAAGAGGAAAAAGATTCAGAAATTCAGGAGAATAAGCGAAGGTGACGAACCTGAAATCAGTGAAGAAGGCAAGACAGGGGAGTAGCTGATATTGTGTTTTAATGCATCACTCTTTTCCCTATTTAAACTAAATTTTTACTTTGATAAGCGACTGTTTAGGCCCTTAATACTCGGCACAAATTTGCATTTTTAGGTCTATATACTAGGTACTATTTTAAACGAAATTTAAGTTAAATGTATCGCCGTCATATCTAACTGATAAAATTATTATGATATGATTTTGATATTTATGAAAATTATCTTTTATATAAATACAAGATAATGTTATGTATAGCTTATATAATATTTTGTCATTTACGATTTAAAATTCAAATATTTTTCTTAACCGATTAACACGTATCTAATTGGGGTTGAATACATAAATATTTTTATATATCCGTTTGGTTCAGTTCTAGCTATTTAAAACTAGAATATCTGTCCATCTCACACTTGTCTCTTTGATATTTAGACAAAGACAAAATAAAACTTAGGACCACAAGTTCTCAAACTAATATTTGTCAATTGTTTTATCATATTTTATAACATATATAAAGTACTTATATAAGAAAATAAAAGACAATCAAAGACGTAAGGTTTCAATGCAATTCTGGTTAAACATCATCACCAATTTATCACAACACACCTTAATTAGTATCTAATTGTGTATGGTGTACACTTTTTTTGTGTGTTGAAAATAGTGTCAAATGACACTCCATATGTATAATTTGAAAAATTAAGAGATAAGGGTCAAAACTATATCTGTCATATCACTTTTTTTTGTGAGTTTCTCACTTGAACTACGGAAAAGGGTCATATTTGCCCTTGTACCCTTAGAAAAGGGTCATATTTACCCTTCGTTATACTTTTTTGATATATTTGCCCCTACCATCCTACTTTGGGCACATATTTGCCCTTGTACAGTTAACTTATCATGACACCATTTTTATAAGCCTATGTGGCGCCTACGTGGCTCCATGTGTATATACATTTATTATAATAAAAAAATTACTTTCTATTTAGTATTATATTCGACCCAACCGAAGGAGTTTGCGGCTTAGCAGAAACCCTAGTTCCAAAGGTAAGGTAGAACAACAACAATGGTCGTGCCTCTGCTTAACAAGAAGGTCGTGAAGAAGAGAGTGAAGAGGTTTATTAGACCTCAGAGTGACCGAAGAATCACTGTCAAGGAAAGCTGGCGCAGACCCAAAGGTTTCTTGTCTGTCGTTTTAGTTTTACATCTTTAGTTACCGAGTAAGCGAGAGTGAGAAGTTTGAATTTTGATGCAGTTAAGAATTGTGGTGGACAGTGAGAGTGAAGTGGATTTGCTGGTACAGACTCGGCACCTCCGTGATATTGTCGTCCTTGTCATCCAAGGTCTTGCACAGAGGTTTAACATCACCTCACTCAATTCCCTTCTCAAGATAGAGAATTAGCATCATATCATGTTCCTTGTTTTGTACATTAGTTGGTCTTTTTTTGTCTCTAACTCCAGTAGTTTGGTGTTGATTTTTGTTTCTGTTTTCTGAGGTATTGAGTTTCATCTGGCTATGCATTTTGCTTCTTCCATTAGCTTCTTATTATGCTTATGCAAGTTAGCTTGGTATTGTTTATGTAAATATGACATATCTTTGTGCATGAAAATACAAAAGAAATACCGATTTGTGTATGATAGTTCACAAAAAAATTAGTGTAATTTATTCATATTGAATGTTCAACTTCAGCATTACTAGCAAGATGTGTCTTGTGTCCAATGTACAATACATGATAATGTGATTATGGAAAATTTTACTAGCTATTACAAGAAAGCTTATTGCACTCCGAGAATCGTAACGTCTAATTATAAGTCACATATCAATTTTGGAGTTAAAGGCTGCAGGTATTCCCAGTTCATCACCATATGATCCTTTTGCATAACTTGTAGCCTGATAAGAGTGTAGAGGCTGTCACGGCCATGAAAGCAATAAAAGACATGCAAACAGCGAGACAATTAGAATTTAGAGTTCAAAATAGACTTCTAAATCTAAAGGATCACAAAAATAGACTTCTAAATCTAAAGGATCACAAAAATAGACTTCTAAATCTAAAGGATCACAAAAATAGACTTCTAAATCTAAAGGATCACAAAAATAGACTTCTAAATCTAAAGGATCACAAAAATAGACTTCTAAATCTAAAGGATCACAAAAATAGACTTCTAAATCTAAAGGATCACAAAAATAGACTTCTAAATCTAAAGGATCACAAAAATAGACTTCTAAATCTAAAGGATCACAAAAATAGACTTCTAAATCTAAAGGATCACAAAAATAGACTTCTAAATCTAAAGGATCACAAAAATAGACTTCTAAATCTAAAGGATCACAAAAATAGACTTCTAAATCTAAAGGATCACAAAAATAGACTTCTAAATCTAAAGGATCACAAAAATAGACTTCTAAATCTAAAGGATCACAAAAATAGACTTCTAAATCTAAAGGATCACAAAAATAGACTTCTAAATCTAAAGGCTCACAACTTATATGTTCCAACGTCAAAATACTACATTCATATAAATTATCTAGCCAATACAAGACAATTAGAATAGCTACTTCAGCATAATAGAGCTCTGCACAAATACAAACACACACACACAAAATGTAGTTGCAGATTAAACACCATTTCAGCGCGTTAACATTTCACAATTTAACCACTATTTTCAGCAACAACAGGACAATTACATCATAACTAATATAAAGTGGCATAATGTGACATTCATGTTCAATGTTCACCACAAAAAAGAGTAAACTGAAAAGACATTAACTAAAAAGTATTGTCATAATTAGTAATTAAAACCCATGAAACATAACAAAAATATTTTTCAACCCAATAGATCACTTTTGTCCTTTTCTTGGCTTCAGTTTCTTAATTTTTTGCCTATTTTGCATCTCCAATTGACCTTAAGTTATAGCAGTTTTTCCCTTACATGTGAGGTTGGTTGGTGAGTAGGGAAGATTTGAAGGAACACTTGTTAGGGTTTTGCCCTGATTTTCTCACCATAATTTAAGATTTATTTTTCCTTAAAGAAAAGACAAAACATTACCATAAATGTTTTTACTTTTCTTGAAAGGAAAATATAATATTATTTTATATTTGGTTTATTCTCTCCTTTTAGGACTCCTTTTCTAGTAGGAAAAGTTTTAGGACTCTATAAATATAAGTTTGTTTCTTCTAACACAAACAATAACATCCACAATGTAGTCGTTTAGAGACTTTTGTTTATGGGGAGATTTATTCTCTCTAAAGTTTCAATGTTTTTCTTTATATTAGTTTTGATATAATACTATTTTGATTTTTAGTATAAGTTTTTGTCATCTGATTTATCAACCATATGATTTGCAAATTATAAGCTTCCGCATGACACCCTAATCACCATTCAGAACCCAACAACACTCACTCCATTGTGATCACCAACAAAATTAATAATCCTTGTCCCAGAAAGAATTGGTCCCTCTTGCCTGGCTCGGAATATTGCATTTTCTGACACTACCATTGGCCTTATAGTAGGATCTGGATCATGATTTGGGAAGTTGATTGTCAAATCTGGATGAACGGTATGTTGCAATGTAGTAGCATCTGGCTTGCTTGATCTTTGCTTTGAAGTTTCAGATAACTCAAAATCTGGCGTCTTACTTGGTACTTGGAATGCTTGGTCTTTAACTCAAAATCTGGCGTCTTACTTGGAATGCTTGGTCTTAGACCTGAAAACTGTGGTGCATGATGCATCAATGTTGGTGTAGACATGAAGTTCACAACTTGGCTTGCTTGGGTTGATTGGGGTGCTGTTAGGTTTATCTCTTCAGGTTCATCAATTAATTTCCTGGCTCTTTTCATTGGCTTTGTATTGACAAGCTATTGTAAGTAAAAAATACAAGTTAGAAATCAAACTTCAGGAAAAAAGTAAGTTGCTATTAGCATTGAAGATATTTTACCTTTTTACATCCTTTACTGTTGTGGTTTGGCTCTCCGCAATTGTTACATGTCATAACTCTTCCCTTTCTTGAACTTGCCCACTCGCCTTGCCTCTTAATTGCCTCGTCTTTTTTTTCTGACTCATTTAGTTTTGGGTCTGCCGACCATCTTTACTAGGTCAGGTGGTTCCATTGCTTGATGTGGATCCACCTTCCAAAAAATTTCACTTCTAACAGGTTGCAATTTGTGCCTATAGGTAAGCAGGAATGCCTCTTTGCTATACCACCAACTCATTTCACTCAAAGGGTCCAGCTTGTTGTACAACATTGCAGAAATTGCATGTGGGCATGGAATTCCATTTAGATCCCATTGTCTACATGTGCATCTCTTCAAAATCATATTTACAGTATGCCTATCACAACCTTCTGTGATCTCATATCCATAATCACCATTGAAATTAACCTTACATTTTTGAGCAATTTTCATGTACTCATTGAACAATTGCATACTCTTTGGGCTAAACTCAGTAGCCCAAAATCTCACTTCATCCTCTTTTTTTCTCAATTGGTTCATGACTTTAGTTCTTATTTCTTCAAGCATTTTGATGATTGGTTTGCCTCTAGCTTCTAGAATCCATTTATTCACCGATTCTGTGAAATTGTTCACCACTTCATAGTTCTTGCACACGGTGTCAAAATAGGCTCTACACCACGCATTGGGAGGATATTTCAGTAAATCTTCAGCTGCTGTTTTATCTAAAGAACCAATCATATTGAGTTTGTCTTTGAAATCTTCCTCATATGTGGTCCATGAACACCACCAAAATACCTTCTGCAGTTCCTCTGACCTCCATGTTTTGCACCAGTTTGCTTCAACATGTTTCGCACAAAATCTGTGATGTGATTCAGGAAACACATCTTTCATTGCTTGAAGTAACAAAAAGAATGAGTTTCTAATTTTTCATTTTAGTAATGTCCAGAACTGGAATGAAAGACCTGTCTAGTGCTTTCATTTTACTTCTGACCAGAATTTTAATTTAAGAATTGGACAATTCTTCAATTTTAAGTTTTGGATAGAAGTAAAATGAAAGAACTGGACAGCGATTGAAGCTTTAGAAATGAACTTAAAAGTTAATGTAAAAAAGAATTAGCTGGAAAAAAATAATTCAGATATGTTACCTTCTGCATGTCTGAAATGAAGGTTATTCCTTTACCCACCTCCTTGAGATCTAATGACCTTTTAAGATGGCCTAAAAACCAGTTCCATGAATTTTTTATTTCTTTGTCAACAACTACCCAAGCAATAAGGTAACTATGGGACTGACAATCTTGACCAACAACAGTTAACAATTGGCCCTTGGCTTTCCCTTTTAAAAAGGTTCCATCTATGCCAATAAAGGGTCTTAACCCATCCTTAAAACCCATTTTAAGTGTGTGAAAGCAAATGAACATCCTCAAGAATCTTCGTTTTCCATTGGCAAGTGCATCCTTCGATATATTTATAATCACATCACTTCCTGGATTACTAGACCTTAGCTCATTTGCATAAGCCTCAAGTCTATTATAATCATCTGTAAAGCTTCCTTCAAGTTTTTCCAAAATCAATCGCTTAGCTCGCTTGCACTTACCATGACTAACATTGACATCAAATCTTT